TAAACTTTCTTATAAGCCGCGGCTACGCAGTCGAAAATAAAAGTATTGAAAGCTTTATTTAAGTGTATTTATATACATACATATATACCGTACATAGGCAATTGGCTCAATGTAAATATAATATAGTTATATACTTAGTTTAATGCTTTAAAAAGTCTCTTCAAATATGCTATAACAATTAATAAGGAAAATTGGAAATTGAAACAAATTTTTTATTTGTATATTCGTTTTGCTTTTGCATAGGTGTCCTTCGATTTTCTGTACGAATTCATAATTAATATATTTAATTTATAAGAATAGTCAGAATTAGAAATGTTTTCAAGTTTTTTAACCACCGACTAGACGCTGGAGTGCACGAATAATATAGCCACCACAGTGGCCATGTAAAATATATACATGTGTATGTATGTAAATAACCAAAAAATGCAAAGCGTTTGCAATATGCAAGTAGAAAAACAACAACAATTAAACTCGACACTTGTGAAGGATTACAGTGTGTATATTACTCCCTCATGTCCACGACATTTAACATTTGACTTGCTCAGAAAATGTATAGCTAATTTGCGTTGTTATTTTCGGTTATTTGTATGGGCGGCAGCCAAGTGTAGAAAAGTATGTAGGCAGCGCTTGAAACGACATTCGATGTGTCTAACGGCGAAACGACTTGGTCATCGAACTTGAACCACCTGTAAGATGAAAAAGCAAATATCATTTACAGTTGTGCGTAAAATACAATACAATTGTTGCACTTTTTGACTGTGAGAAATATCTACACACCTGCCATAGTTGCCGCTTTTGCAAAATGCCGTGTAATGACCACTCTCCATAGAGCCATAATGATTGGAAACGCCATATAGTTGATACGTTTTCGGTGTCACCGAACGCGATTCGGACTTGGCAATGTAAGGCGTCATATCAAGATTTTCCAATGGAAAGCGAACGTAGTTTTGTTTCTTTTTATAAGAATTACCCACAGCGTCGGTATCGGCATAAAACCTGAAAATTAATGAAATTATTAAAAATTAATTATAGGGTTCTTATGGTATGTATTTATAAATAGGAAAGTATGTATGCATGTGTAGTGAATTATATTTAATTATTAATTTACATTTATAGTTCTGTTGTTAATTCGAGGGAAGTAAAATAGTAGAATCAAACAGCGGTATTGACATATGATTTTTTTGTTGTGGTAAATTAGACGTATTATTCATTATAATACAAATTTGTCGTGGGAAAATAAAGTACTCATAAATATTAAGAAAATTTCACAGAAGCGAAATTCTCCAGCTCTATTATATATGAAGTTGTCTTAATTTCCATAGTTATTGCTAATGTATGGAATATCAATCGAAACTAAGAAGCTAACGTGTAGCACGGCAGCACTGCTTCAACAACAACAATAACTACGACAGTTTGAACTACGTAGCTGGCTTGTATGTGAACTTCGGACCAAAACTTTCATCTCATTGGCACTTTAGGTTGCTTACACCAACAATCAGTAGCAGCGAATATTCGTTCTCAAAGTTGATTGGCAATGCCCAACTTATTTCCAATTATGTAAATCAAAAGAAATTATATACTATTTTACCTCTTGAGATGTATCACCAGCACCGGTGGCAGTTTTGAGATATCCAATTTTTTCACCGCATCACGTTTCGTTTTACAATTCGGACAATTCCAGCCGTGTATACGTTCGCCACTAAAATACATATCCATACATTGGCTGAGATAGCAAACATTTGCATTTGAAGGCAACTCTAGACTTAAATTTGAAAAACATTCGTATGTGGCGGATTCCTTGTTGCAGTCCACACATTTAACGGTACTTTTTATTTGGCCATAAAATAAATGCAATATGAGACTCTCTTTAGCTTTGGTAAATTCGAGCCACGCCTTTTCGGAGGGTGTTATATTATCACGTGGCTTTTCGGGTACATATAATGTTTGTAAATCGGAATGTAGCCAATCCATGAGTATGGTAAGAAACTCGTGGGAATCTTGTTGTTCGATGCCACGGAATATCTGCTGGTACTGACCCATAACATACTAAAAAGTAAGAGAATATATAATTACAAAATAATTAACTCTGGTAAATTTATAACTAATTTAAAATACAATTGGATTATTTGGCTGAAGGCACTAGAAGGTGTTGCCTGTGATATACATATGTACGAGTATATACAAATCTATATACTATTCACTATACGTGTCTTATTGTATTATTGTTGCATACATATGTTTGTACATACGCACATGCGTTATATTTTCTATTTAATTATATACTTACACGCAAGTCCTTGCTGGCTACACATTTGTAGTTGCCATTCCATAAAACTTTAATGAGCGCCGCCACTTCCTCGACAATATGCCCCTTGGTCTTATTGCTGCGACTAATGTAGTTCTTATATTTGTCCGTTATGCAGTATTCGGTGAGTTGTGGTGTATTGCTGAGGCACTGTATTATACTGTTCATGTAGCAGGTGTTGCCCAAGTTCTTTAAGCCGGTCAAACCGCGGCCCTAAAAAAAAGTAGTAAAAATAAATATGATTAACCTTGAATTTATTGGCACAGGAAAAAAAAAAGTTAACTTCAGCTGCACTGCAGCTACAATATAATACCCTTCATCAATGAAGAAAATTTTCATAAAAGAACTTGAAGTTTATCGCTCAGTTTGTGTGGGTTCGATGCTATAGTGGTCCGATCTGAACAATTTCTTCGGAGATTGTATTGCTATCTTGGAGAATAATCCATTGCAGATTTCATGAAGATATCTTGTCAAACTGAAAAGTTTTTCATACAGGGATTTGTTTTTGATCGTTCAGTTTGTATGGCAACTAACATATATGCTATAGTGGTTTGATAACTGCGGTTCCGAGAGATGAGCAGGTTCTTGGAGAGAAAAGGGCATATGCAAAATTTCAGAACAATATCTCAAAAACTATGGGACTAGCTCATGTACATATATACAGACGAATAGAGACACGGACATGGCTAAATCGACTCAGCTCATCACGTTCATCATTGATATACATATTCTTTATAGAGTTTCCGAGGTTTCCTTCTGGGTGTTACAAACTTCATGGCAAACTTAATATACACTGTTCAGGGTATAAAAAAAAGCAATAATATATTACCTGACACAAATATACATATACATAGATACATACAACAATGGGCATTTAATAAAAGAAAATGTGTCTTTTGGGTTTAATTATCTACTTAATGTGCAAACATGTGCCATAAATTCGAGGCTATTTCAAAGATATAGCAAGTAAGCATTGTCGGGACACGAAGTTCTCAGATACAGGGTATTTGAATTGATTTAATTTTGGAACAAGTTTTGTGAAATTTATATATAGTGATATGGATTATATATATATATATATACATATATCTAATAGACTACTGTTAGATGTTGAGTCGAGCTTCTTCTGACATATGTGGTATACAACTTGATGTTAGCCTACAAATAGAGAGGCCTAAAGGTTTAATAAGCTGTCGAACAAGCGCTGAAGTAACTTTTTCATAGCGAAAATGTGGCCAGAGGCTTGTTATTGTTTTCTGTGGTACAGCCACTATGGAAAAAACTTTTTTTAGTGAAGCTCCTTTCACAATTACTGCTGGTTTTTTACCAAACTTTGTTGCTTTAATGTTTTTTGGCGCAAATATGCTTTGTGTGCTCTTAAATTTGCACAAAAGTAACAGTTAAATCTTTGAGACATTTACTTATTAATAACACTTTTGTTGTACATGTAACGCCACATACTATCCAAAGCGCCTTTATGTATGCTACAAAAATTATTCAATATTTCGAAGTTGGAAAAAACTAGAACTTGAACGCTAATATGACATTCCACATATGTATATTTATTATTTTAGTTTTACCTACACGCTTGAGTGGAAAAAATGATGTATAAATTAGTATATGCGTAGCCGGTATATGCAATTTAACGCCCGCGACCACAATCATCTTGAATTACTTTGTGTAATACTAATTTTGTTACTTATAAAATGTGTAAACGATTGTACAATAATTTTTGGCTTTAAGTTGGCAATAGCTGGCGTTTTGTATAGCGCGCACAACAACATGCTTTGAGTAGAGACAACGACAGACTAAGACTCCGTTGGTCAAAGACAAAGGTGCTCACAGTTGTTTAATAGGCCAGAAGACACATTTTTCCCGTTAAACACGTACAAATAAAGAAATTGTATGCATAGAGTATGTGAAATCACATGGTTGATGACAAAAAATATTTAACATGCACGCATACAAGTGCAAAGCAAATGTCGAGTCTTGAGTTAGCCCACGTTAAGGCGCCAAGCCATGTGCTTTGCCTTTGCAAACTTTGTGTCTTTGCATGCATTGCCTATATGTATGTATGTATATAGTGTGATAAGTGCACACACCCAGCACAAATTGATTTTCGGTTTTTTAGATGGCTATTGAAAATTGGCGCATACCACAATTTTTAAGTGGCTACATACAGTAGTTAGTCGCAGACGAGTATATAGTTTTGTTTACTAATTTATATACATATATAGATGTGCAAACAACAGCTGTAGGCGGGTCACGTTAATGAAAATAACATTCGGTCATTAACACACTCAACGCAGACTGCCTGATGACTGCTGACATGGTCGTTCGAAGACGCGTGTATAATGTTATAAAACGTGACTAAGGACAGAATGATGCACAAATTTGCAGACATACATACGTAATGCGCTCTAATCGATTTAGAAAATATATTTATGAATTTTAATGTTTGCGGGCAGTTAATATTTGTTCCACATAAAAAGTTTGATAACGAAACAAGAAAAAACACCCTTCACAAATACAAAAGATTCCTTACAAGAATTTAATTGATCTTTTTGTATGACGGCTATATGTTATAGTGACTCGATCTGAACAATTTCTTCAGAGATTACACTGTCGTCTTGGACAAAAATTCATGCAAAATTTCGCTCAAATATCTGATCAAATGAAAGAAATGCCATACAAGCACTTGATTCTGATCGTTCAGTCTGTATGGCAGCTACATGCTATAGTAATCCGATCTGAACAATTTCTTCGGAGATTACACCATTGCCTTAGACAATAACCCATGCCAAAATTCGTGAAGATATTTCGTCAAATGAAAAAGCTTTATATACAAGCACTTGATTCCGATCGTCCAGTTTGTGTGGCAGCTATATGCTATGGTCGTCTGATATCGGCCGTTCCGACAAGTGAACAGCTGACGTTTCCCTTTAGGTGTTGCAAACATCGTGACTTAATATACCTCAGGGTAAAAAAATGCACTTATAATTAACTTTCAACTGCAATATATCCATATGTATATTCCTGGGATGAGCTTGGACACCACTAGAAGAACTACAATAGTGTGGTCCACATTAAATGAACGAACTCGGAGTTATATTCGTACAATAACTGTCAAGTTCGCAGCGATTGCTCAAACTATCTGACGAATGCTTTACACCGCTACAACAATAACAATAACAGAAACATTTTGTCTAGTAGTTTAGTAAATGAATGAATTAACTTGTTTATATGACGACGTCGTTGACGCATATGCGTCTCTTACGGTCATTGGTAATAAATAACACTGGCACGTGATTCAGCAACATGTTTTAGAGCACATGTAAATAAAAACACTGACATTAATGGCGTGTAGTGTATAAATACTTACCATTGCGCCAGGTGTGGGTGAGAAATCGCGTTGTCTATCTATTGTAAAGACTGCTGGACTGCTATGTGTTGGTGCAGACAAATGTGGTTTTACGGATCGATCGAATTGCGGTATCTTCGATTTGGGTATATCATCTTCGTTGTCGATTGACGTTCGCGGAAAACGCGCGATGGCCATGGCTAACTGTTGGTCACGTTGTTCTTTTTCACGTTCCAATTGCGCGTCGAGCCTTTGGCGTTCTTGGATTTTATGCTCAATCTGACGTGTAGTCTTTTCGAGATTTTCTTTTTCGTTGGGAGATAACTCAGCTTCTTCTTCTTTTTTGACGCTTTTATATTTTTCAATTTCGTCTAAGAGACGATCATTTTCGGTTTTCTGCAATAAAAATAAACGTTTATCTTAAACGGGAAATCAAATGTGAGTATCATATTATAACCTACATAGTCTGCAGCTGCACTCTCTAATTGCATAATGTAGTATAGCAGTTCAGTTTCCGTCGACGTTATAGGTTTTTTATCGGGACTTTGTTTATTCTTTTCAAATATAGTGTCCAATTTTTCTGAAGCTTTCTTTAATTGTTCATCGTTTGCTTGTGCTTTCTCCAACAGTTCATCCTGTTCCTTAGCTAACTCGACAATTGGTTTTTGTTTTTGCTCGTATGTTTTCATAGCAGCCATTTTACTTGAACGATCTACGCTAGGTGGCGGCTGTGACATAATAAATGTAAGTGGTCTTGACATGCTGCTTCCTGGCCTGGGCGTGTAGCTATGACTACTTATTTCTTCCTTCATTGTTATATCATTTATTGAAGGATATTCAATTTCGTCAATGAGATTCAAATCATTGTTGTTCTGTTGCGGAGCCTGTACGCTGGGGTTCGTACAAAGAGTTGGGTACATCATAATAAAGAATTCATAGCCACCTTGTAGTATTTTGATGGAGGAACGATAAATTACATCTGGATCCCACTGCAATAATATAAATTGTATTCTATTTAAAGCTGTCAGCACAAGCAGTTAACAAAACTTACATTCTGTAGTATTTCCAGAAGTTTGCCAATGGCCGAAGATGGTGCAGGATTAGAATCTTTGGTGTTCCAATCCATTAAGGCAACCTGCTCTTTGACCGAACGAGCTGACCATAGTACTTTAGAACCACTATCCAATTTGTCCTGTAATTTTCCAGCGGACATGCTATTCATAAAAAGTATATATATTTATACGACCAACTTAAAAAATAGTGAATTTCACTTACCCAGCCGAAATAATTTCTTCTGGCACGTTCATTGTATAGTGGTATGTTAGATGAGACATCTCATAATCCTTACTAGGTCTACAATCCATTATCAACACATTATTCTGCTTCATACGTTCAAATAACTCTTCACATTTAATAACATTTAAAGATTGTAATGAATAATAACTACTGTATGCATTTGCTGTTGTTGAGGAGACCGAATCACCTTTCAAAAGATCAAATTTCTCTGAAGCGCTAAGTTCGCTGTAGTCACGGACACGTTCATTTTGCTTTAATGAAGCTGCCACTATTGCTGGTGACTTCAGCGCCATATTGGCAAGCTGTTTTGCCTCATAACGTCGGGTAAGTGAAGTGCTAAGTTCCTCCAGTTTATTCATGGTCAGTTTATTATTCGAATTGCCGCCTAGTGTCTGGCGTACAGTCTGCTTATGCTCTGCATAGTCAGGCTTTCGGTGTATGCAATGTAGTAAATTGAAATACTTCATATATAATACGTAAGCTAATTCTTCATCGCCCTCCCTGTAATATTTGTCTGCTTCCCGCAGTAATTTTCGTGCAGATTCTACCAGTCTGAAATGAAGTTATTTAATAATTTTATACTTTGGGCATATAGCCAATTATATACTGTACGCTCAACACATATTTATATAAATATGTATAAGCGCTTACATTTGAGTTTTCTTCGTGCGAGCATCTGGTATTTCGGAATGTTTTTCCAAATCATTTAAGGTTTTGCCTAAATGCAAATCTTTTACGTGCGCCATTTTCGGCATTACTACGAATAATGAATACTATTCAGTTATTTTCCAGCCGGGCGAAATTGTAATTAATGCTGATCGTTGCAACTTCTATGATTTCTCATCCGTTTTCTTTGCCAGCAAAGAAAAACAGTCAAATGGGTGTTAAGTACTTTTTTCACGTATAATTATTCACTTTTTTGCATATCTTTCTATACATATTAATTTTCTTTATTATTCTACAAAAAGAAAGGTTTAATTATGCTTAAAACAAATAGAAAAACCAATTCATCTAAAACGCGTAAAAATTTCCATTTTGAGTCAGCGAACAAGTGACAGTTTGTCGATTACTAAGCACTCAGCTGATTACAGTGATGGGTGTAAGGTGAAATCGATTACTTTTGGGTATTTAGATTGAATATTAAGTTTTTTTTATATAAAATATATATACCGCAAGCAGTGTAAAGCTACGAACACTTTTTGTTAAGAGTATTTCATATATATTACCGGTTTTTATTTTGAAATGACTTGTTTTACAAAAAGGTATATCGATTAACTTTTGTTATTAATACCAACTGACATCTGGATATTTGCGCTTATATATTTCCTCTTCCGTTGTCACTTGACACTTTGGGGTAGTGAAAAGAAATTTTCTTCTTTCCGGCGGTTTATAAATTATAATTTAAAATATGTAACTACTATATATGTTATTAAATATTTAGTGGCGTGTATTGTGCTTTGTGGTACGTATGTATGTAATGCAATGAAAATAAAAGTATGTGTGTATACTATGTGAACATCACAGCCAACGTTTGGAGTCACTTTAAGCTTATCATTTGTTATTTGTAGCAAAATGAAGCAAAAAGTACACAAACAGGTAAATTAAATTAAACATACTTAAACCAATACCCAAATAAGCGGAAATCAAATCCGTGCAGAAGAAACTTTGAGTTTTTTTTAGGTTAACCATTTGTTCTACTTCTTTCAGGAAGTTGAAATCGAGTTAGCCCTTCTATTGTGTTGTGTTTATATGTATATGTTTATATATTTTCAATTTTGTAATTATATGAAAGCTTCAAGCTTTATGAATTTTGCTGCCAGTTTTTATCTGGTAAAATTTGGAAATTTAGTGTGGGCTTTTTACCTCGTAAAATTTATCTGAAGCGCATATATCAAAAATCTTAAAAAATTGGTCGTCATTATATATGTATGTATTTATATATCTTTTACAAAACATAAATTCAATTAAAACTCCAATCGAATTCAACATTTGGCCCGAACAGACAATTTAACTGTTTTAAGTGAGTATTCTGGACCATGAAAAGTTTCCCAGTACATGCCTTCTTTGAACTTATCCGTGTCGCCGTGCAAATATTTACCAAATAGATTGCTACAAAGTGAAAAAAAAAATAAATTAAACAATAATGTAATAAATACGATAAGAATTTAGCATTGTTATACTTACGCTTCCATGCAATTCTTAAACCAGCCCGCGCTGTTATACTCCTCACTACAGCTACCTTGCGCTTTGGCGTCATTATCGCGATCAATCGCACTAAACTGTTGACCTTCATGATACATAAACGAATCACCGGCTGTGCCATGATAAATCCCTAATATGCCCATTTTGTAGTCGGCATGTTCAGTGAAGACGCTAAAGTCACTATAATGTGCATACCTTTCTACACCTTGAAAATCTTCCAAATCAATGCGTATTTCAAAGAAACCGCTATAGGTCAGTTCATGTAAATGTTGTAAACCCAAGAAGAATTCCGTTTTTTCACCTACACTACCGAAACCTTGCTTATATGTAGCCCAGGTGCGATTGTGAAAAGCGACTGAGCCATCTAAGCGCTGTAAAACAACAATCCAATGTTCGGCACTGCAAAGCACTTTGAATGGTGACACTTTGTCATCGTCCAACTGAATTTCACTAACACCAACATTTTGACAAATCTGCGCTAAACGCTCTGCACATTTATGGTTGTTGCCGCTGCCGTTGCCAAGCGAGGAAGTAGCGAGTCTTGATGAAAGTTTCGTGTTTGGTGGCGTCGTTGGTGTTGCGACTCGACGTCCTCTTGACTGAATGTTATTAAGTGTGGACGTCAATATTTAATGTTTAATATATAAAGTAGAAGTACGTACCCTTCCGTTACATGTTGCTTGCGATGTGCATGTGGGTGATGTGTACAAGCTGCTGTTGGTTCAATTCCCGGATGTGTGGCAAACGATTCGACTTTGCCATTCAAAGTTTGTAATCTCAAAATTGAAATATTTTACGTTTAAAATAAAAATATACAACAAATTATACACATTCCTTACTTTGACAATATTTCGTCCAATTTATTTTCTAAGCAATCGCCATCACAGCCTGGTGCTGCCTGCACAGCATTCTGTTGAGGGTAGATAAATGCGAATAAAAGGAAAATTGTTAGCGAAAATTTTAGTTGACAGCGTAACATGCTTGCACAGCTCAAAGCTCGTTTTACGAATGAAACTTGAAGTATTTATTTTAATTTGTTGGGCACGTAAATATAAAAACATACATACTGTCAGCGTCAAAAGAAAGTGTACACCTTTTTCTCATACATTTCAGTTTTTATCTCAGTATAAAAATATTTAAAAATTTTCAAATAAATTATCATTTATGAATGATTAAATATTGTTCTTACAAAAAATTAACAGCAATCCAAAAAAATTCCATAAATACAAAAACAATACGAACAAAACCAAATATTCTCAGTATTTCACGCGTCAAAACAAAGTGTACAGTTACGGTAATAGGCCTCGCATATTTATTTTACGCAAAAAAATATACCGTTATCCATAGTTATTTCTTTGTAATTGCTTCATTCTAATGTTATTTAGTATCCTTGTGTAGATAGAATTTTATTTGCGTTTGGAAATTTGCCAAGAGCACATCAATTTGACAATGGGTTAGCAAACTTCATTGGATGTAAGAAAATTAGTGATCAATTTTAAAAAAGACGGAAAATCTTTCCGCGAAATTGCTTCGATTATTGGAAGAAGCCATAACACAGTGAAAAAAATGATTTATAAACAAAAAAAAGTTTGGAGAATTAGAAGATCCGACACGTACGGCTAGGCCAAAGTGGCTCAGTGATACAGAAATGCGATCAGTTGTGAGAGCTAAAGATAGATCCAACTGTCAGTGCCGTAAAAATGTCTGAGGAAATGGTCTCTATGGCCGGGTACCGAGGAAAAAACCACACATCTCTACACAGAAACAAAAGCGACGATTGCAATTTGCGGAAAAATATAAAAATAAGGACAAATCGTTCTGGAATAACGTAATTTTTTCTGACCAAAGCACGTTCGAAGTTTTCAGGAAGAAAAAAAGTACTAAAGTTTGGAGAAACAAAAATCAAGAGTTGAACAGAAAAATATTACATCCACTGTATAGCATGGTGGGGGTTCGGTGATGGTTTAGGGGTGTATGGCGAAAAGTGGAGTGTAAAGGCTGGTGTTTATTGATAGCAACAATGAACTAAATAAATTATCTAAACATTTTAAAAGAAAATTTTCTCCCCAGTATTGAAAAATTGGGCTTAGATCAATCCTTGATCTTCCAACAGGATAACGATCTTAAGCATACGGCAAGAATAGTAAAGGAATGGTTGCTTTACCGTACACCTAAACAGATGAATAGTCCCCCACAATCACCGGACCTAAACCCCATTGACCATCTGTGGGAACATTTCTACCGGAAAGTAAGAAAAAGGAGCATAACCAGTAAAAATTCTCTGAAGGACATTTTACAAGAGGACTGGTCCAAAATTTCCCCGGAAATAGTGTCCAACTAAGTGGAATCAATGACAAGGAGGTTGGAAGCAGTGATCCATGCAAAGGGAAGACAAACAAAGTATTAGCTTTTGAATTTTTTAATTTTTCTTAAACTGTACACTTTGTTTTGACGCGTAAAATACTGAATATATTTGGTTTTGTATGTGTTGTTTTGTACTTGTGGATTTTATTTTGGATTGCTGTTAAGTTTTTGTAAGAACAATATTCAATAATTTATAAAGATAATTGATTTGAAAAAATTTTAATATTTTTATATGGAAATAAAGAGTGAAATGTATGAGAAAAAGGTGTACACTTTCTTTTGACGCTGACAGTACATATGTATATACGAATATGTCATAAATAATAGCATAAGACAATTGTTTTGTTTTTGTTTGGTAAAAAATAATCAGTGTTTGAGTGCAAGGTTTATCAATATCGCCTCTCACTTACTAGCGACAGATTTGTTTAAACACCATATAAATATAATATTACATGTTAACCCACTAACGTTCAAAATTTTCCTTTTCTATTTCATATTTAGATTAGTGCTCAGATAACAATGCCAAAATGCTAGACAAATTTGTATAAAAAGTGGTCTAATTATTGAAAAAAAAAAATTATTTATTTGATCAAGTGTGTGTGGGATATTCCCACGTTGTCATTCATGCTTGATTAATTTTCAACTAATTTCAATATTTTTGGCTCCAATCATATAACTAGGTAACAGTACCAAAGAAGCTTTTTTCAAAATAAAGCGATCATTGTTTTTATTAAGGCTAAGAGTGAGTTTTTAACATTTTTTTTCGATTTCGCTTGTCTTAAATGAATGCATAATATCTCAAGAATATTGTGTTCAAATCTCAAGTTGTTTGGAGAGTAATTTTATACCTGTCTCATGAACATTTTGCATCAGATTTCAAAGCTCTAAAGCGTTTTCGCCACAACTCACGTTTTTAAAGTCGGTGCCCCTCATAACTTGAAAATTATTGCAGCAATCGTTTTGAAGTTTTTAACTCTATTTTTATATCTAATTTTCGCGGTAAAGCTGGAGAGTCTTCAAATTTGTTAATATTTTTAATATTACAATACGAAATTAACAGTTTTTTTTTCGCAAAAAAACGCGTTTTTTTTCTTCATAGTTTTTCCAAAAAGTGAAAATGGAAATTTCAAAACCTCTACAGCGTTATTTAGACAAACCGATTATCTAAAGCTATAATTTGATCTCTGAAACCCGAGTTATGATCCAGCACCTAGTTATGAGGTGCACCGCGATTAAATTTTTCCCCTGAGATACACCAGAGTAATTGTTGTCATTTCCGTATTTTTATCGTATATTCTTCAAATATCATACTATTATATTGTTTTGATTTTTAATGATAGATCTTAACTGCTTCATCAAAAGAAAAATCATAAAAATTGGACTTGTTTTATACATGAATTAACATTACTCCTCCCTTAACTAATATTTTGTTGGACGATCTTTATGACATTATGCCTTATAAAATTTTCTAGAACGTTTCCCTTGGTTAATAAAACCCAATAAAGAATCGCAGTACTGTGAAGTAATTGTGTTCCATTATCCCCAAAAAATATTTTATTTGGAAAAAATATAATTCAATCAGTTTCCTTTTGTAGTATATTATTAATAGTACCTGAGAGTGAGATAATTTATTTAATTTTCGAAATTTGTTGTTTCGTAGCACTGAAGCGAGCGTCTAAAAAAAGAGGGTGTGACTGGTCCCGGTAATTTGGTCGCTTGAGACCATCTGAAATAGAAAACTCAAAAAGAATATTGCTTTGTGAACTTGTCGTTCTGGTTGGAGCTAGGATTAAACAATTTTGTTGAAAAATAGAAAGTTAGCGATAAACTAGTTCTGTGAGAGCTATTGAGCCTAGTTCCTGTGACAGCTATTGATGAGTATAATAACATATTCAAATTTCAGCCCAATCGGTTGGATAGAGAGAATTTTTCATCATCCGGGCACACCATTAGAACGTTGTTTTGAAAAAACCGCGTTAAAAGTTTCAACAACAGATTAAATATGTTTCATAGAATTATATTTATTATACTTTGCACTATAAGACATTTTGTAAAGCCGTGTATACTTAACCTCAACCGGCTGAAAATCATCTTGATTTCTTAATGTATGAGCAGAAGTACTAATAAAACTTGTATTTTGTTCGGTGGTATGTCTATTGCCATAAAATTATTTGTTCAGCGCAGGATCTCCAGAATTTTTGTTATTGCCCTTTTTTCCTTTTCGATCCATTTTCGCGCTCTTCGAAGATATTTACGCGCAAAGTAACAAGCGTACACTGACTGTTCGTCTTGAATTTCGATATAACTGAGCTCCAAAATAAATGTATAGAAAGAAACAGGTCTCGACGTTTGTAGCTACCGTGCGGTTCAGCGCGTACTACTACGAGAAACTCACGTATAGGTGGTATAACTTTGTTAATATTTCGATTTTCTTTCTAAAAGCAGCGTATTCATACCATAGTATATAGATAGTACTTTCGAAAAAAAGTTGATTTTTCCAAACCAAGTTATCAGATTACTGCCTTATCAAGAAGTAAAACACTCGTACCCCACATCTTCATTTATAAGTACCGATTGCTTTCTACGATTTTGTTTTGATTTAACGATTGATTTTTGACTTTTGAAGAAAATGGATTAAAGAATACGAATTAAATTTTGCTTTAAAAATCGAAACAGTTAAAAAAATTTTCTTGAAAATCGTCAAATTACTATTAGGGAAAATGCAGAGGATGTTGGCATATCATCGGCTCATGCCATTCAATTTTCTGAATTGTTTTGGGCATGAAACGTGTGGCAGCGAAGTTTGTTCCGAAATCGCTAAATTTTTAGCAAAAGCAATGTTGCTAATTCGTGATTTTTTGGTCAAAAACACCTTATTCACCAGATTTGGCTGCCTGCGACTTTTTTATATTCCCAAAACTGAAGAAACCAATGAAAGGAAAGCGTTTTGCCACATATCGAAGAAAGAGCTGATGGTCATACCGAAAAGAGCATTTCAGAAGTGCCCGAGTATTGGAAAAAGCGTTGGTACAAGTGTGTTGTATACGATAGGAGCCAAAATAAATATTGATGAATAAATAAGTAGTTTTCAAAAAATTCAAAATTCATCTTTTCCTTTGAACACATTTCGTATATAAATATATAAATATATACTATATATACTTAACTTTAACAGTAAATTTTTAGTCAACCAGTTAAATTTTTTTCAAAAAACTTCTAGATTTATAAAGCAGATGGCAATGATGCCACAATCTAGTCTAATTTAATCTCGCTATAATTTTCTATCTTCGGTTATCTGATGTCACAGTTACAATATGACAGGTCTTTGTGAAAGGTTTTTTAGCATCTCATACACAGCCATTGTTCCAATTCTTCAAACTTCTCTTCTAAGATATTCCAGACTAAATATAATATATACATATATGTATGTATTAAAAAAAATCCTACTGCTGGTCAGTGGGGAAGTCTGGGAAGTTCTCAATGTAATGCAATAATCTGAACACGCCCAATTCATGTACTGTTATTTACAACTAACATATGTACATATATTATATGCGTATATGTATGCGTATGTACATCAGAATGCTAACGACAGAGATTTATTAGATAATATTAGTAAATCAAGAACAAGACGAAAACCGGAA